CTCCCTCCTCGTGGATATTTATACTTTGCGGGAACATGATCTTCTATCATGGATCTGCTATTGTCCTTATTGCTACACGATGAAAAGGACATTTTATGTATTGTCTTAGCCTATTTAGCTTAAAACCTTTAGATTCTAAGACACCTTTAAAGTTCTATCATACTTCATCTCTCCTAGTCTAATCATCTAAAATTGTGTCATCAGCTAATAACATATACCAAAGGGACTTGGTCACATGCATCATTAGTTCATCTGTGACTAAAGCATAAAGATAAGGACTCGAAGCAAAACCTTGGTGCCGCTTTTAGTAATGAATATTCTGAACTTTTGCTGCCACTAATTCTAACATGTTTGATTGCTTTATCATAAATATTCTTCACACCACTGATACATCTTAGCACTCGCAATGGCAGTTTTCTGGGAAACATTCAGACTTCTTCTAAATCAATAAGGAGTATATGCAAATTTTGTTTCTTTTCTCTATAGCTTTTCATTAATCTCTAAAGCTGGTAAAGCTTGGCATAAGACTAAACTCATTTTCACCTTACACCATAATTTATCCTCAAACACCCTCCTATAATTACATGGTAGGATGGTTTGTTCTTCAATGATCATCAGTTCGAGTCCCCTCATGGCCACTGAGGTGAGTATCCGGCTGTTAACTTCAGAATCCTGTAGGATTAGTCGAGGTGCTCGTAAACTGACCCGGACAAAAAAAAAAAAATTACATAGTAGGACTCGTGAACTTAATAAATCTATAGCTTATAGATTCTCAAATATATCCTTCATTCTTATAACTACCTTCTTGTAAATAGGCAGTAAAAAACTATTCCTCAGTCACGTGATATCTTTTCATTAATCTCTAAAGCTGGTAAAGCTTGGCATAAGACTAAACTCGTTTTCTCCGTAGAATTACATCATAATTTATGCTCAAACACCCTCCTATAATTTTACATAGTAGGACTCGTGAACTCGATAGTTTGTAGATTCTCAAATATATCCTTCGTGCTTATAACCACCTTTTTGTGAAAATAGGCAGTAAAAGACTCTTCCTCTGTCATGTAATATCTTTTTATCTTTAAGATCTACATTTTTATAGGATAACTAATATCCCCACCTCAGTCAGGCACGTCCGTGATCATTTACTTTCGCACACTGAAAGGAAATACTTTTGAGAAGGATATACATGTGATGAGAAAAATGCTTTTCTCATGTTTGTGGTAAAATGAATCTAAAACAACAATTTTGGGTTCTATAATCAAATTAAAAAAGAAAAGAAGAACTGCATTGAGCTGTGCGTTAGAGGAGAAGACCAAATAATGGACAAGAGAAATGCTAGGACCTTTTGAATAAATATGTGTGTTCTTTTCTACTTTG